CCGTTGACGGTAGTGAAGAACGAAACGCGCTCGAAAAAGTCGATGATGTAGTCCATTACCATGGAGTCGTGCCCGATCACCCTCTCCCTCTAGCCCGCTGATATCAGCGACTGCCGCAGCGGTACCGGTGGCACCAGCCGTGAAAATTTTCAATGGGGACTGCAGTGAACCCTGCGATTAGTTGCGATTGAAGCCGGGCATCGTCTTTTTTCTTTTTACTACGCGTCTCCTTGCTTTCGCACGCTCCCCTCTCTCTCCCCGCTTTCTCTCTCTTCTCGTTCGCCGACTCATCCGCTGAAAAGTCAATAGCTGGGAGAACAAAAAGTTTCACTCCTGATGAACTTTGAACGCATCGGCGAGCGGAACGGGGCAACCGTCAGGGAGAAGGAGGAGGACGGAGGCGTTTAGAGCTCGCTTCCTGCAATGCCAGGGGGCGACTTGCCGATGTTTCCTATTTTCCGTAGACCGGAAAAACTTCGATTTAGCCGAGGCTCCGGAGTGGGAGCAGCGATTCATTTATTCCCCGAGGTTCCACGACAATCTGATTGGAATTGTTCACACATGTCCAGCATCGCCGGCGATGAGTTCCCGGTTCTTATCTCGGCCGCATTGATCACCAATTAATTCAGACTCGCCCACTGGTGCCTGCATACGCAGGTGTGCTCATCTGCTCGAACTCATACCGGTGTTTGCCGACTACGAATCGTTCATACCTCGACCGGTCGGTCCCCAGTCGATTCGCTCGATCGAGATTGAAATCACTCGAACATGAACTCATTAAAGCGACGGATCCATGCGATCGGGCGGAAGGACCCACTTGTAGGCGTTCTCTGGATGTCTCTCGAGAGGAGCATATCGACCTACCGATCGACTCTGCGCCGTCGTTGACATATGCGAAATATTCCCATCCACTTATCGAGCTAAACTACCGGGGAGCTTGAAGAGCGGACGCTCTAATTACTCGAGCAGTCATTCGAGGAGTCTCTGAGACTGGGGTCTGCTTTTTCGCCGGAAACGGGAAGACGTCCCCGAGTTCCGCGGAAACATTGTAGCTCGGATCCGGAAATCAAGTGTCACATGTCAAGCGACGAGCTAATCGACGACAAGACCGTGTTCGCTCCGTCGCATCCTGCTCTCGTATGACAAGATTTGAAAGCAAAGTTCCGCGTGTGCAAAATATCAGCTTGAGAGACATCCGTGGATGGCTTGCTGGGGATCACCTCCTACAGATACGCACGACCTGTCAGAATAAGAGGGCGAAAAGACGGGACGGTCCATTATGACGCCGCGCCGTCTTTCTTGTCCATCCGATTGGATCGAGGGAATATTCGCGAGTTTTCCACGGATGACGACCTGAGGAAGATACTCTCACGAGGCCTCATGGCTCATTTCCCCCCGAACATTTTCGTTCCGTTTCGAACAGAGAATGGAAGCACTTCGTCAATTAGAGCTTATCTCTCCACCATGAAGCCGGAATGGGATCCATGATTTCCGGATCGAACAAGCGAGTGGAAGCGAAACTCCCATGTAGATGTGGATCGGGCGACGCTATTGCCGGGCATATTCTCACCGAAGAGCAGAGTTCCCCGCTGCGGGGTACGATGCTCGTCGGTCTCGTGTAGGCGTGGGACTCTCGGGCAAGATGACAAAGTTGAAGGCTTAATAATGCGCTGACATTCCACTCGAAAACTTTCGCAACGAAGCGATCGGTCGAGTGACTTGGGCTGAGAGGCTACTCTCATACGCGTTCCACGGCCCAATTCCCACCGACGTCGGCCGAGACGGGGGAATTCCGGTGCTCATTGCTTCTCATTGACTCGCTTCCTCTACCCGTGTCAGCTAGCGAGTCCCCGAATGACAGAAGTCAATGTGTGAAGCACGCTCATCTTGCCCCCGTACAGGAGCTGGCCGCTGTCCGTTCGCCCGGTATCAACTCTCCGCGGTCGTTCCTTATTCCGAGCTGCGCTACTCTGTCGCCTCACTTCCTGAATGACGACCGTGGCGCCCTCTATCCTGGAAATCCTTGGGGAAAGACGACGGCGGCGATGCAGTACTCGGAGAAATCGAATGATACAGAAACTGCGGAAGCGGCCACCTCATTCGCGATGAGTGCGTGCTTGCACGACGCTTTTCGGCTTCGGTGTCGAGCGAGTCGGCACGCGAGCCGCGCACACAGGGAATTAGGGATCGAGGTCTCCCTATATGAGACTCATGAACCGGAAGGGATAACCTCCCGGATCCATGTTCCGCCTTTGCGCCCGCCGTCGAACTCGAGTAAAACTTGCGCATGCGCGCATTCTCTGCCACAAGTGTGTGTGGCGGTGGCGGCAGCAGCAGCAGCGGCCAGCTAGAGTCGTACATACATAGGTGGCTTGTGTGTAGAGCATCGCTTGTTGTATTTCTTGGTTTACTGAGTATTTATCAACGAGTTCACGGCGACGAAGACGACGACCACTATTAGGAGGACGACAGTTTTCCACACGTCCATCGATACCCTGTCCTTCAGTACTACTAAACCGTCGGCACCGCGAATACTTCCGTCACTAGTTCGAGAAACGCGTCTTCCGTTCCCTGCTCTCGGTGCAGCATCCAAGAGGGCGGCGGCTACAAACGGTTCTGCAGGAGGTTCCGGATCTGACAAAGTTCATTCGCCTTCTGAGCGACTTCATTGAAGGGCGGCGGCGACGGTGTCAGCGGCGACAACGGAGGCTGTGGTCGGCGACTACAGGATCTCGTGAGGTCGTTCTCTGCTTGTTCGTTGTTCGGCTGCGACGACGTTGAGCCTGCTTCGAGGCTTGTTCGCTCGCGCTTGCTCAATCAATCAGTCAGTCAGCCAACTTATCTGAGAGAATCAATCCGATACGAATTGATTCTCCAACCGATCCCAACCCGAGCCGAAACCCAAGCAACCTACTCGAAACCAACCTTCTTAAGCAACCATTCAAACAAGCAACCTAGCAAGCTACCAAAGTCCCCACCACTCCTACTGGACCGTCAGCTGGCCAGTTGAAGTGCCCGGTGAAGTGAACAATCGCATGGTTCTCACTCTCCCATTACAGTCCGGCATGCATCCGCCGACGAGAATGTCCGATCAGCTGGTAAGCCCGGAAGCCGAAGACGACTTTTTACCAGCAGCAAGACATTCCTTCTTCTCTCACTGGTCGTTTTTCCCTTGGCGTCTCCCCAACAATCCGTCCTTGCTAGCAGTGTGCCACGCTGCCATACGTCCATCGTCCCTCGTTCGTTCGTTCGTTCGTCCTTTCGGTCAGCCGGTCGGTCATCCAATTAATCATTTGGTCACGCTAGTGCCCATTAGGCCATCTGTCATATGGGGGGCATGCGGTCTGTTGCTCCACCTGCAATGCAACATTTCCGCCCCCAAATGTTTCACCTGGCCACCACATCGTCCCGCTGTGCGTATCCTGCGACGGAAACGCGATGGATGAGTCAATTTTCTGCCCCGGCTCTCCGGCCTCGAATTTTCGAGCTAAGGGAGGATCTGCGGTTCTCAGAACTACCGCTTGGTTGATCCGAGTCTTTCGACGCGCCGATCCGTCACTGGATGAATCCTCCCAAACTCATCGTGGTTCGGATCTCTTGAGAAGTCTCAGCCCCCTCCATCCATCTCACACTCCGTCACTTTGAGGATCAGTCGATTCTTCATTAAGCCAAGCTGTCGACAAGACTTGGAACGGTCACGCTGTCAACGGCTGTCGCAGTCTGTTACGTCAATCAGCTCACTGATGTATAATTCACGTTCGTATGCTTGACGCGCACAAAGAGGTATTTAGTAGGTTCCCTCGAGGGGACCGATCGACCGGAGGAGACAACGCGTTGACAACCAACCGCTTGGCGCCAGAGTGCGACCGACTCGTCTTACTGTATCAGCAGCTGCAGCTGCTACAACATGTGCAACAGCTGCTCCTTGCCGTTGTTTTCCCCGGGGCCGATAGACAATGAACAAAGCGGTACACGATGAATTGGTGAATTATGCGCTCGCCCGCTCAGTCGACCAGCTCATTCCATAGCCCCTCATACGATCGACTCCCTGCGCTGCCGGGTCAGGCAGTCGATTTCATTCTGCTTCGGGGGTTCCATTCTATTCCTGATCAACATCATCGTTATCAGCATGAGCCTTCTGATGGGCGGTGCGCTCCTCGTCCCTTTCTGGGGCCTCATCAACTTGAATATCCTCGACGGCGAGGTCATTCCCCGCCGTATTCTCGATTGATATACGAAATCATCGTGCCACATCATTTACTCTCTCGACTCCCAATCATGGTCCGTGTGTGTTAAGCGAGTATTTGACTAATTAATTCCACATCGCCTTGACTCGCTCGCGCTATGTACGCGACGCGTCGCTGATTATGATCATGGTCATCTTCATCACTATCGAGGTTTTGATGAGCCTGTGGCGACGGCTGGCGCGACGAATCGACGGGACGGAATATGACTCTTGCAAGGACGAGAACTATCGTCGTTGACTACAGCTATAAGTTTTTCTAGCTTGAGCTGGTACTCCGATAGTAGTCTGATCATTATTATTGTTATTACTGGAACGGCATCGAGAGACGCGTTCCTGCTTTGTATTATCCCCGAGCCAAAGACCAACCCGCAAAGAAGCCGCCTCTCAGCCACTCACCTTGATTAGCAGCCATAGAAGCAGCAAGCCCGGCACCAGCATCTTCCCATGGTGATCATGACCATTATTGAAGCTGATGAGCGGGGAATACCTCCATATTACTCTCGTTCCGGAGCGACTGAGCTCAAGTATATCCTCTCGAGAGAAGTCCCCCGCTCTGACAGATGATCGCCGCTTACCATGTCCGATACGGAAATCATCAGCGAGTCTGCCCCTCAAACTAAATTACCCAAGCGAAATAATTTCCCCGACAGTAAAATATTTGCTCTCCAGGAAGATGCTGGTATTATGTTCGAGATGGCAATCTGTAAAATTCTGCGACCGAGAATTCCATACTCATATTTTTCAATGATTCCAGGCCAAATCGGAGGGGAGGGCGAGACCTCAGCCGAGGACAAGGAAGCTGAGGCAGAGGCTGAGGCCGAACGACTTGAAGCCCTCCGCGAAGCCGAGGACCGTCGCAAGGAGAAGCACCGCAAAATGGAGGAGGAACGCGAAAGAATGCGTCAGGGCATCCGGGACAAGGTACGCAATATACCGGCCAGATCGATGATCCCCCCCTCCCGGGTGTCTCCCGGGGAAGGGGGGGGCAAAGCTGGAAGAGAGGTGCCTCTTGAAGTCAACGACCCGCTGCGGTATCTCGATTGCCTCCTTGCTGGAACTACCCGCATCTGGATTCCGGAACGTAGATGTCGAGTCAAAAATTTTGATTCGTCCAAATATTCTCCGACTCTGAGAGGGAGGGGGAGGAGGGAGGGGAGAATATCGTCCGAATGCTCGTCCTCCTTATGGGGGCGACGGAAGGGCATGAATGGGAACAGCTTTTGGGACCCTGATGGTTGGGTGCCCTTAGCATGCCCCCTCTCGTGGAATGTCCGAAATCTACGGGTACCTGAGAGGAAGTCGATGTACCTGGGTCGTCCAATCGCACTTATTTTGTGACCTTGTCGCATCAATCGGATGCTGGAGGGACGAGAGGACCAAAGAAGGAGAGACCGGCCGCCTGATCAGAAATCGGAGAAGGTCATGTCGATTTCGATCTGGCCAGCACGCAGAGAGAACGAGGGTCTCTAGTGATTTGCACTGATTCGCAAGGAGGCGCAATTAGGAACGCGGAGCACATCTCGGGTGGCTTCGAGTGAACGGTGTCCAGTGACCTGTCGCGGTTCTAAGGAAGGCACGTATCGCATTTTTGCATTGCAGTACGGAATAAAGAAGAAGGAAGAAATCAAGCCCGAACCCGAGGAAGACATGGGACCCGCCGGATTGAATCGACGGAAGAAGACTCCGGAAGAAATCGCAGCGGAAAACGAAGCTGCTGAACAAGACGAGCTCACCAGTGAGTCTTCCCCAGAGAAATTCAATTATGGTGCAGAGCATTTCCGTATACGGAAATCAATTCCGGTAGGGTAGATGACGCGATTCTTTATCGGATGCGACAGCTTTGCTTCCTCCTCACAGAGCTCAAGAACACCATCGAAACGCAAGTGAACGAACTCAAAACGCAGATGGAAGGGAAATGCAGCTTACAGTAGATGTTGGCGCAGCGAAATCGCAGATCGATGCCGTTCCGTGATGGGATCTTGAGTCTCGACTGGGGAAATCATCAGAATCTCAACGAGAGACGAGCAAGCTCGGAATTCAAACGACCCGATTGGTCTTCGAAGAAAGTAGAAATTCGAAATGAAACTCGAGAAGACCACCAGAATGAAGGAAGAGGAAAAGCAATCATCGAGAATCGGGACCTCATCGGACGAGGAAAACTCAAATTCGCACTCCGAAGCAGACTCGGCTCCGGAATAAACTAGTCGACGCCGGAGTGGAATCAGAGAGAAAACTCAAGAGTCAAGGTCGACCCTCACGCAACCATCACTTCTGGTGCTCTGATCTGTCGACGAGCTGATAATTTTCGAGAGGTAGTTCGAATCTAGTAGCGAATGATTGAGGCTAAGACGCAAGCAGAAAACCACGAAAAAATACTGCAAAAAAATTCGAGACATCAGGTGAAGACGAATGATTGAGCTCGTGGAGCGCTGGATTGTTCTTGCCTCAAAGAACACCTCCAACTTCACCGGCTTAACCAGTAGTGCTCACTTCATTAGATTATTGAGAGCGCTTCCAGCGCCGTCCTTCGACCGTAACCCCGCTAAGAAGATCTTTTTCGGGAACATTTCGTTTGCTACCTTTCCACCGACCCCAATCTGGTTAGACCGACCGTGAACACATCCTTCTTCAGCCTCGTCCTTCCCACAATTCAACACCTTCAGCCCAGCCGACAACCTCATGTCCTCAACTAGAAATACCCGGAACCGACAGAGTCAGTATCTAGCAGAGAGCAGAACACGAAAAGAATAACCTCGTTGAACTCCCGAAATCAATGAGTCTTTACGTTGGTGTGCGCCTATTCTTTAGCGCCTCCGGACCAATCTAGAGTCTTTCCTATCCAAGTATACGGTCGGGGGACCCGCAACGCTGATGTAAGTTTCCAGTCTGCCGTACTCAAGTGTAAGAATATGCCTCACGCCCAGAATACTACACGAACGAAAATACAACCCGGAAACAGTCTTCTTCCAAGCAGGATTGTGCGCGAGCGTTCTTCCGAGCCTCGTGCAACGACCTTCCACCGAGAGATAGAGAGTTAGGTTCGCTTCCACGACCACATGACTCGAACTCATCGGGTTTGACTCGCTGCTGGGAAAGATGACAATATTCAACTCACAAGAGGAACAACCACACAGACGTCCATCACCGATGCTGCCACATCATACCACTGATGGATATCGGAAAAATAAAGACAGAAACGATCTCATGATCTATCGGTGTCTAGTCGAACACTTGTTTCCTTGATTCTTCGTCCAGAAATTTCGTTTGCCTCACGAGTTTCGATCGTAAGGAGGGACCGGCGAATCTCACGCAGGGCCAGTCTTCCGACAGAATCGAGGACCTCGTTTAAAAAAAAGGGGAAGACTCCTCAGTTCGAGGACGGGCTTCGCCGTGAAGCGTCTACCACCACTCTTCACGGCGAACCGCATCCTGCGGAAGACTGTCCCCCCATAGGCCTCTGGCCTGACGTTTCTCAAGTTTCTCTCCCTTCTCAACACACGAAGAAATTCGAATGAGGAAGCCTGCAAAGTCTGGCTTGACGAATCCGTCGTCAGAACTGTGGCTTCGGGCCCGAAAGGTTAGACCCGCTGAAAACAACAGCTTTTATTTTTACAGTAATCGATAAGGGTCACCATTGACGACACCTTATATTGAAGCCTACATACACACCATTATGTACTCTTTCGCAATACTCCTAATACAATGTGACTTAACATTCAGCCAATCCGGTCACTAACTCGGACGAGTCGACAATAACCATCTCCACAGACTGAAAGCAGACAGCGACAGTTACAAGAATTGAAAAGCAAGGAGATTGAGGCTGGAAACATCAGGCAGCCGCAATACTGGGTAAATTGACATTGTCTCGACCGAGAAAGAATCGAACTCGTCTCTTAAGCCCGACGGGTCGGCTATAATTCATGGTAAACGCCTTCCCGTTTAGAGATCCGTGGCGGAGTTCTTTTTTAAAGACTTGGATGACACTCATAGAATATCACGTTATTAACAACACGTTACTCTAGTCTCAGATATTCATACCGATATTGCCGATAATTCAGCATGACGGAACTGAGGAAGATCACGAAGAGAATGACCGTACTCAATGGCGTACCGAATTTACTAATGTTCTCCATGAGCGAGTCGTCTATGGTTCTGAATTCTTTGGATTTTTCTTGGAATGATGATACCGCTGCTGAAGTCAATAACTGATGAGAGTCATTATTATCGGAATGAAAAAAGGAAGACTATCACTCCTTCGCGGAGATGAATCTTCTTAGCATGGAACAGTTCTTGTCTCATTTTTGTCGAACAGTCTCCTCAAAAGTAAGGAATGAAGAGCGAAAAAACAGCTGAGTCTCCTGATCTCGAGTGGGGAAAAATCGATGATTGGGGAACGATCTCAAGGAAAACCAAAATGACGATCCCGCTGCGGGTCCAATCCGTCATCGAGATTCTTTCTATTCGAGGAGCCGTACATGATAGCTAAGACCTTCGAACAAAAAGGCGAACATTGAGATCACAATAATGGTCATCGACAGGGATGGCATCGAGCCGGTCGACATGAACGGAAAATACGATCCAGCCATTGGAGAGAAAAAACATCAAAAATTCGGAAAGCTAAGCGAACCAAGGCACTCTCTATTTTCGGCCTCTATTCTGAGTTTGCGAATTCTCAAGTGAAGGTCAATCGATCGATCGGCTCATTCATTATTCTCGCTGGACAATTAGGATTCGCTCAGGGGGGAAGGAAACGCTATCATTGAACTCGACGGAATGATCGAAAAACTCCGTTCAGAAGCTCGTCCAGATAAGAAAAATTTCACCGATCGAACGGTTGATTGAGCAGCAGTCACACGAAAATGTTCACCGTGCGAACACACGCATAACTAGACGAACGGTTCTTGCTCATAGGTCGTCGTACTTCGTGTGTCGTTCGTTCATTCCTTTTCGTTGAGAACGTGCACGACCGACGCTAAACCTCGGTTGGGCCGACCATCTGCGGGAAGAGGAGTTACGCCACTCGTCCTCCGTCGTGTCTCCAGACGATGACGGAGGTTGACTGCCGTGGCTTCAACCATCTGACAGCGTGAAATCACCTCATCTGATTTCTGCGTCGTACAACGACATGAACGGAAAACACTTTCAACAACTTTCTCGGAGCGTTCAACAACAACACCCGCAACGACAACAACAACAACAATAACATAATATACAACTTCTCCCATACACAAGGCATACTGTCTCTCATCTAAGAGTCACCGACTGGAAAGTTACCGCGGTGTATCGATAGCGGGCCAAGATGAAAAATAATGGATCCGAGCGATGAATTGGAAGCGACAGGTTAAAATGCAGGAAAAAAAGTGGCGGGAGCGGACAAAGATTTTATTGATAACAATAATGATCGACAAAAAATGATACGATGATAATTATGAGGACGATGATGATTCGAGAGAACAAGTGGAACTAGTGAGTGAGGCGGACTCGCGAGACGAAACCTCGAGAAAAATGGTGATGATAACGATGACTTTGTTGCGACCATTGTTGTACTGAGTTTTGCTGTACAGTTTTTCAAACTTTTTAGATAGCAGCCGATCGGCGATCAGCACATATATGTTAATGTTACAACAATTCGAACCAACAAATATGTACTACTCGAGTGTCTCAAATAAGCTTTCCAGCTTCGCGACTTTAAGCGTCTCTACGACAAAAAACTGACACAAGCCAGACTGTAAGGAAGCGAGCAAACAAAAAAATAACAAGTAAGAACCGAACGACCCCTCTGAAGCAACCCAAATCAGTGAAGGTAGTGCGTACGTACGGATGAACGGACGGACGGACGAACCTGGAAATGAGCTGAACGATTCCACAGTTGAACTTGTTGTATGCAAGTCATTACGAGCATTCTGTTCCTACATAATATGATACTTGTGGCTTGTCGTGTTTATATTTGTTGATGGGTTTTTTCTAGTTAATGGCGCCAATAGCCTTCAACTTGTCAATCTGTCGAACTGTTGTCAACGATTGTCAACAACTCTGTCCTCGGAGGGAGACGAGCGGGAGACTGGCTGCTTTTTTCAGCCAGACGAGTATGCCCAGCAACGAATGAACGGAGAGTAAGGAAGAACAAATAAGATGGTTATGCAGATGATTTTGAGGTGATGGAGTCGCTTGACAGCGTTCATATTGACATCAGCAACAGCAAACAAACAAACAACAAGAACAGTGACAATGATCGACACCAGCATCTATTGGAAATCGAAACTGACGAGCAACGGTTGGCTATCGATGAGCGATGAAACACGACATGGTAACAACGAGGGAACACGGGGTGGTGTTGAATGAAACAACAGATTGGTGATACTTCGGAGCTCAGAGCTTCGCAAGAAGTCTTAAACACCGAGATCCGAAAAAGCGAGCGAGCGAGCCAGCCAGCCAGCCAGTCAGCAAGTAAGCAAGCAAGCTAGCTTCCATGCGAGCAATTGAAAAAAACTCTAACGCCCATGGTGATCCATCTACTGGTTCATCAGCAACTGTGCTGCTTCCCCTAACCCACAACCCCGGGAGTTGACCTGAGTTCGACTTGGTTCTAACAACGCCCATTGGTCCTCGAATGGTTGTCTCGAGAAGTTCATCTACCTACAGAGTCGAGAATCCGACGGAGCAACCAATATCCATCTTTCATTATTACCGGAGTCCTCCCCTCTGTCTTAGTTATCATTCGTCCAGCCCGTCCCACTGCGGTTCAGATCCAACTTACCCTCAATGATAACTTACATGTGAACCGCAATTTCTGCCTTTGAACAAAAGAACACAAAATGCTGTCAAGCTCATCGACCTGAATCCCGACCTCATCCGAGAATTCAACCGCCGCCGAGCGTCCAGTCGCCGTTCAATGTCTGTGCTTCCACTGTGCACATTTTTGATCGTTAATCATTTTTCCTGCATCCTCTTTCTTGACGGTAGAGACTTCTCCGCACTCACCTCAACGTATACCAGCCGCTCATGGATTCTATATCGTCGGTTAGTCGTCTGCCATTGACACAGCTACCACCCGTACCATTTGAAGAAGATACATAAATTGTTTTGATCGTTCAAACCTTGTCCTCCTCAGTTGTATGTTTGGCACCGCTCCCTCTGCGGAGCCGTTGTTCATCGTCATGTCATTTCAGGTCTAAACAACGATATGCGACTCGATTCCATAGCAATATAAGACGGCATTGTTCAACATCGAAAGCATTGTGTTCTTTTCCTGGAACCACTCCGCTGAACAAATGAAACCACCGACTCGAGCCTCGTTACCGATGTCGAATGGTTCGCCCATTCGATCACGAGCATTTTTCCATTGGTTTCCAAGTCGTTCCTTCCTGAGTCAAACCGTGCCCCCACCCAGCCCTTCCAAAACCCTAAAAGTCCCCCGCCTTTCTAACAGCCAGCAGCCAAGACCCTCAGCAGCCCACCGGCCCCGCCTAGAATCGAGCGATCAGTGCTACGAGTTCCCTATGTACTTCGCATGCAGGCGGCCGATGTTGAAAACGATTTTCCGCCCATGCCCCACAACCGATAGAGTTCTAACGGAGTTACTTTGAGCCTGTTGACTGCCTGCATATACCTACATTTCACTTGTTATCATAATCCGGGACAGGACTATCATGAACATGAGACAATACAGAGTCGAGATCGCTCCCCTGCATTATTGTCCCGAGACGTCTGCAGATACCCTTCCAATTATCCCGGTCTGGATCTCGGACGATGCATCCGACGATCGGAGTGGGGGTCACGCTTCCCGGGATCAGGGTGGGACTCGGAGCTCACATTTCGAAAGACCTACGAAATGAGTTCCTGCGACATCGACTTCGAGAGCGGAATGGCGTTCGCCGCTTGAGGGACCTCCATATCGTTGGTGAGAATCCCAAGACCTCCCACATACTTCTGAAACGACGCGAAACCGAACGCGAGCTTGGTTGACAGCCGATCGTTCTGAAGACCCTGCTTCGGAGCGTGAGTCTGATGGTTGGCATCCGATCGAACATTCCCAGCAATCATCGCCGTAGCTGTTCATCTTCCGTGAGAAGATCTCGGAGCTAGAGAAGTGTGGTTCAACCTCGAGAACTGGAAGTCATTTCCGAATAATTCCAGTCCAAGGACACTCCCCTCTCGGGTTCGACTGTTTCTGAACGAGCCTCTCCACACCACGCTTGATTCTGGGAGCTCGAGTCGATGAGGGATATGAACACTAAGAGAGACCGAGTTTATTCGCGTGCGGAACATTGCGCTTTTCCGGTCTGAAACAGGAGCTCTTATATGCAGGCAAACTCGACGGCGAACTCACCATATTACTCATGATAGTTGAAGGAAAAACAGAAAAAAAAACAAAAGAAAATACTGTGCAACATACTGATTCGCAACTTGAAAAGGTTTTAGGCGGGAGGGCCGCTTTGCTCCACTGCATGACACCATCCAATGACCCGGAAGTCCATCACCACGATTGCCACGATTACCTCCTACTACATACAACTACAACCATCTGATCCACCCCAGCCTAGCACCATTCCATTCGTCGAGCGACCACCACCAGCCAATCCGAACGCCAGTTGCCCCTTTGCCGACTTCTACCGCCACCTACAGCATGACTACTTCTACCTACGACTTTGACCACGGTTGCCATCACCGACACCAATAGAATCAATAAGACGATTCGAGACACTCCGGAGAATGCTTCTTCCCCCCTCTGATGAGTACGTGAGTGAGTGAGATTCCGTTTGTAGAAGTTCTCAGTAGTCGTCGTCGTCGTCGCCAGCGCCGCCGCCACCGTCGTCGTCGTCGCCACCGCCATCTCCCCTTTGATAGAGAGGAATCTTGTGTCTGATTACCGGCTGCGGATGCGGTCCGTGACGATATCGCCATCGGCGAGCGAGATATTCCGCTGGAACCATGGGATCATCCCTGCCCTCTATATAACCACCTGATGGATCGGTGCAGTTGATTCGACCGCAACCCGAGCCGGTAGGGGCGTGGAGGACGAGCCGCAACAGGACATGACCGGTTGTTTTCGGATCGGTGAATTCCGGTACGAACAAGCGGTGCATGTCCTGTTGCGTCCCGGTCTCTCGTGGAGATCATTGTTGGATCTGAGAGTCACTTCTCCGTCCTGGTCTCCACTGTATACACACAGCAGCTCAACGTTTTGCGCAAACTGAGAATTTATTTTGTAGCCATATACTGCAATTCATCTCGTTGCGAGAGAATTCCGAATGCTATCGTTCGACACATCGTCTTTGGTACTTGCACCACTGTTTTTACGTCCTCTGACGATAGGAATACCACCTCTTGATAAAGCCCTGCCTATAACAGCCTCCGATGACGGGGTCAGAACACCCCAACCGAATGAGTTTCCTGGAGACCCGCGGGGGACATGCCTAATGAAAAGCTGGAAGAGCCGTCAGGGCTGAGGATGGTTGAAGGAGGCATAACGCGAAAGGCAGGGTTTCGGCCAGAGTTTGATTATCCCTCTATGCAGATTCAAGCCGGCCTGCGTTAGCCAGTGCCTATGCGTTTCTCGTTCCACATGGCGACGTGTTTTAATTCGATATGTTCGTTTTACCCCGTAGCGCGTAAATGGGCTCGCTTAAATTATCCTTGCTTGAAGCTTCGGTCGCCATGCGGTGAGAACATGTACGGATTTCCGATATGAGTCGATTAGGTCGATAACATCCTGTGCTATTGAGCGGCAGGTTCGCCCGAAAACGTGTACGGAACAACATCTAAACCATGTACTATAAAAACGATTCAAGCAGTACGAACAGCAGCAGCAAGGACAGGCAGAAGAAAAAGGAATAACATCAACAAAAAAACAACAACAATGATAATAACGATAACATTTACCTGTAATAAACGATTAAGTTGAAAATTTCTCTGCTCTCGTTCTTGAGATGGCTGTCGGCGTCCACTCACTCACAATCAGATCTCGCGTTCTGACCTGCAGAACGAATGCTTCAAGATTCCCTGCGGGTACCAACGCGAATGGAGCAGTGCATCTTTGAGCCTCCGGTAACAATCGGCAAATCGTCGAACTCCACTCGGACCGCGATGCCGAGGTTCGATGACGCTACCCCTTCTCCTGGAAGCGTCCTGTCATGGCGAAAATCCCATCCGTACGAAGCGGTAGGATTCCCAGAGAGATGAAGCTCGATGTTACTGATCGCTCTCTGCGCAAGGTGGGACCTGGTATGCTTGAGGATCGAGGGCCTTCAAATAAATCCTTTGCATCGAGCGATCCGCTTTGAGGGGGTCGGCGAGGAAGCGTTTACGGGATCAAGAAGATGGGGATCTTCGATATGAGGGCTCCGTTGAGGGCGTCCGTGGGGGGCCGTCGCACGTTAGGACACAGTCTAGTTGGCATTCGCGAAATGGCGATACACGAAATCGCAATCTCTGTCTGGGGCTGCATGGAGAGTCTGGCTGGCACCGTGTCTTCGGAGAAGATCGGCATAAGAGAAGGTTACTAGAGGGAAGCTGCAAGGGCATCAATCCTCCTCGCCTGGGATTCCTACGCATTCCCAGTAATGGTGGAAGAGAGAGACCATGCCAGTCTCGGGAGCTCCCTGGATTTCTAAGCCTATCGTCTCGGAGTTCGACTTGTCGAGAGACACGCTTTTCTGAGAGCTGGGTCACGAGCGTCTTGTGGCTCTCTGACGCGGAATCGGATGATCTCCCGACCGAGCTCACTGAGGGTGGGCCTTATTTCGTCATTTGCTTCTTGAGAACCGCTCTATCTCCGGATCCATCAATCGAATCGTCATAAATGAGTTGAGGCTGCTCGATGCTACCTGGCGAAGTTCCTCCCGGAGATTTTCTGGTCAGCTCCTTTTTCAGAGACGCTCTTGAATCGAGCCCCCTGTGAAATTCTCGAATCGGAGCTCAAGAGCAGGGATCGCTGACTTGCTCCGCCCTCCCCCCGACCGGATACTTCCTGCGGTTGAGTGCGGTAGAATACTGGTCCATTAGTCCTGGAGGGTAGCTCCCGGGAAGAATGCGGTTTAACAAAGTCGATCGAGAGCAAAGATCGAGGCGTCGATTATTTTCGCAGCTAGCTCGCGGGATCGAGGCTCCGCGGTGATTGTAAACAATCAAATGCAAGTGCCGGTCGGGAGCGTGATGAGAGACATGTTATTATTTTCCTCCGACCCGGAACAGGAGGTCGCCCCTACGACTTCTCCGATCCGTCGGCGTCGGATCTCGCGGGCGCTTCCACGAAGTTCGGCGGAGCTGACGCTTTATTTGGTCAAGTGAAGCCCGGTCCCACAGAGTCCATCAGTCTGCTCCAAGATCAGCTTCAGAGCAATTATCTCAACCACGACCATTCACTTATTCCACCAGCTTCGAGGAGCTCACCAAGCCGCAACGAAATCCAAGTGGATCAACGCTGTGAAAACCACCACTATAAGGCAGTCAATGCGCCTCTCGCAGCTGTGTTGACGAGGTGGCAAGGGAGTCAAATATCTTACCCATGATAGCAGCACTGTGCGGCTCTGTGCTGCTGGAAAGCCTCGTCATTCTCCGCTGTTCGTTCTGCTCACCGTTCCGGATAGACAAACGAACGCACTAACGAAAATAGTTTCATAGTGTTCCAAACAACGCGAGATGGCTACGAGTGAATCGAACAATGATAAATTAGAGGAGGTGAAGCAACAGGTCGACGATGTCGTGGACATAATGCACGACAACTTGAAGTCGGTAAGATTTTCAGAAGTTCTTGAATACTGTAATCCCTGACTTGATCGGATCGATTCCCCACCGTTGCGCCCGTACTATCTCGGACACAATGATTCCTCAGCTTCGCCCGTTTTGTATTTCGGACAATTCTTAAGAGAGTCGGTGAGGTTTTCTGTTTAGTGAGTGTTTGAGTGTCGCTTCCTGCTCACCTCGACCGCGGACCTGAACTTCCGAAGGAAATGCTCCTTTCAGCGAGCGACGTGCGCGTTTTATGTCACCAAAGCCTTCCGGGAGAATTGAGCATTGTAACATGAGCACGTTCTTTCGAAATTGCTCCTCGTGGGGTGTTCCTCATCGAGCCGCAGTGTTTTCCGTTTGCTCCGAAGTGTTTCGGGACGCTTGTATGTAAAACGATTGCTCTTGAAAGCATGCGACGATGAGCGCGAAATCATTCGGTCTCGCTGCTGCTGTCAAATCCGATTCCGGTTCCGGGATCCGCGGAGCCAAAGGCCGCGCTCCATCCCGAATCCGAAGACCATTTCGCTCCCTCGGCGCTCCGGTGTGTATTCTGTTCGTGCCGCCAGCATTTTTATGCAGAGCTGCTCGTTCGCATGGGACTCCCGAGAATCGCGCTGTACGTCGACCGACGTCGATGTTTTTCCTCCGTATTTCTGTCTTTCGGCCTTGTCCGAATCGGATGCGCGGGCTCGCTGAGCGCTTCCAGCCCATGCCGTGAGACGTCGGTGTTCACAGTTTGAGTGACTAGCCGTGTATGAGTCAAAATTCCGTCGTCGGATACAGATAACCTGTAACTTACGCCCGTCACTCGCTCAGTCCCCTGTTTCCGCAGACTCCCTTTTTGGTGCCTTCGCTCGTGTTCAGGGTCCAGTAATCGGTTTTATTCGATGAAGAAATTCTAGAACGAAGCCCGCGTCAGCGGCATCTTCCTCCACTGTCTGAACTATTCTCGTCACATGCGTGATTTCTGTGAGCTCTGTTCAATCAATTATCCTTCTCTGGTGGTTCGGCAGCTCGGAGCGATCTAACTGGAGCGTGCTCTTGTTCTTAAATGACTCACTCTCAAGGTAAATATCTCATGTCATGAGCTTTAAACACGACCTTTAAATCCATTTTCTGCGAACAGCCCGCGACTGAATTGTCGGCATGATAAACTGCAGGGCTTCATTCCTAATCTCATTCGTCCCTGTGTAACTTGAATAGACGGTACCCGCGGATGAGTCAGTTCATCGTCTCCGCAGTGTATCAGTGTCTGGCAGCGAGCGACCTTCATGCTTATGTCCCACATGCCTCTGAGGCCACCGTGAATCTCGACCATCCACAGTCGTTTTATTAGCCTGAACTCAGTCTGCTGCACCGTGAGACTCCCACGAGCATGCCTCATTTCTTCACTCTAGAGACTCGGCGCCAATACATCAGCAATGGATACTCCGAAAGATCAAGTAACTTGATCCTGGAATTCTCCCATATACATAGTACTCGCCGAGAAAATGTTCCGAATGCCAGAGGAGTTCAGGCGGATCCTCGTCCACCGCTTCTGTGCGGCAGGGTGGGGCCACGACTCTCCGCGGCCTACTTTCGCGCTAATTTAGCGGAAGGAGAAGTCACGGACGCATGACGACTCCATTGTAGTTGACGACTGCCGCTCCTGCGTCCGAAAAGCTTGTATGAGGGCTCAAAAGGGGAACTTGAGCTAGCGTAAGCTCTTTTCAAGAACAGAGCATTGCCGCTATCTTGGTCCGTCGAAGGACCGGATTCCAGGGGGAGTTGGCTAGCGACACAAATCTTTAGTGACTTTCACTATACCGAGGGTTCCAGGGAGGGAAGGCGCAATGGCTGACCTTCCGAGCGCGATATGTGTATATTACCCACAAGAAATCTTCGTGATTGTGAGCGGGAAGGAAGCGGCGACGACGAGCTCCGCTGATCACGGATGGAGTAATCATAGAAAACGCTGTTTCCACCATCGCTCCACCGCCTCCGTCTGAATTCCCATCATCCGATGCTCCATGCAATGACGACTGGAAACTAGAGCATAGCTCTCCTCACTTGCAGGTAATGCAGCGTGGAGACAACCTGACCGATCTCTCGTCTCGAGCGGACCAGCTTGAAGAAAACGCGAAAGCCTTCGAGAAACAGGCCGTCACATTGAAACGGAAACAATGGTGGCAAAACATGAAGATGAAAATAATTCTTGGGATAATACTCGCCGTAATCATCGCAATCATCATCTATCTCGTTTTATAGAGGAAACATCGACGGGTCCAGGTCCCCGTGTAATCGATTCAGGAAAATGGAACGATATCTCTCTCCGCACAGGAATCATGCCCAATCGCGCTCGACGCTGAGAAAACCTCGGCCGCCAATTGTAAATAGGCTCCACCCCATTTCGAATAAAATCTCCGATGACTAAGAGAAAACGATTCCTCTCTTCCGGATCTAACACGATAACCGCACAACTTTCTGATTGCCTGTCGCCGCGGATCTCGATATCCGAGACATCCTCGACGGATGACCGGACTTGCGAAGATCCGGTGAGAAGCCAGGCCTATCGGCTTCCAAAGCTCGAGGAGAAGAGCAGGACCCATGTGAACGATACCTGGGGGTGGCTCATGAGGAGGGGATTGACGTTGTAGGATTCGTGCGCATGGCTCAGCACCCATACTCCGTTGAAGACTGTTTTAGTTTTCTCAATGTTCCACCACTATACTAGGATCTTACAGAATTCGAGAATGGTGGCGGAGACATATGTCTACGCTCACCAGACTTCGTACACCATGATTGTGATTTCCATCCAGGCGCGTGTTTCTATCAGGAACCACGGATCCTATTCTGAAAATGATACTGCAGTTCGTTCACAAATCGAATCCCCGCTTCGTCGGTCCTTCCGCCTTCGTGCAGACTCAGGGTGCCGAACACCCGAGTCGACATGTTCCGATCCTTCGACGCCCTAGCTCTGAATGAGTCAAGCCTGCTCCTCCGTCGGACTGTTGTTCACAGCTGAAATCCAAGCTCCTGGAAGTCGCCCACTGAGCGGTGATGCCGAGGAGGGTTTTCCGCCGAACCGAATGAGCTCGTGCGAATCCATTCGAATAAAAACTTTATTACCCTATACATTCTCACTCAACAAGACTGCACTCGATCTATACGGGCGTGTTGGCGCTCCTCTCAGCTCCTGATGGATCGTCTTTTCACAGAGTTCCGCGTCTTTGCATCGGGTGGATCTACCTCGCGGAGAGGTTGAGCCTGGTAGCACTCACACAATTCTGGAACGCAACCACCTCTCTCGAGCACTCCAGCGGCTTCTTTTGATTCTTCCTATAGCATTGCATGACAGCGTTCTGCGTGTTTTGGCACACAGCCTGATGACGGTCGCCAACATACTTCTGATGAACTTCGGCAACGCTCCCTGGAACAAGAGGATCCTGCTTGTCATTTCGGGAACGATGGGAGGAGGGATCAGATAGCATCGAATCCTTCGGAAATCGATGGATTTTCCGGGTGGGACCGCTCCCGGAAATCACCAGCGGATGGTCCACGCACAGGAACCGGACAAGTACATGGAAACTATGAACCACGAAGTACAGAATTTATGAACAGACCGGTGAACTTATCAGTTGCCAGTTTATAGAGCTGCTTGTTTTGATTTGCCAGATCGTCCAGTCGGCCCCTCCACTCTTGATCAAGTTTCTCCATATCTTGTTGGTGAGACCTGCCGCTCATTTCGCTATACGACGGATAGCCGGCAGCAGCAGGAGCAGGGCGCGATGGCGTTGCGGACGCCGCATTCTGCAGAATGGGAACACTCTCGTCATGAATCTCCGGAAATTCAGAGGGCACCCCGAGGGTATAACAGAATCCGAGAATGGGGATAAACAGGAGATAGATTCTCTCGGAATCGCCTCATACCATTGGCTGAGCCGAAGCTTGATTCTTGAGTCGTTGAGCAACATCGTCAGATATCGTGATGATGTCCGGACTGGTCTCGTTGATGATCGTCACTCTACGAGTGGACTGACTCCCTCCCATCTGAAATTCGATGAACGTTCCAGTTACTCGAGGCGGGTGCTCGTCTCAATCGAAGAATCGGACTGAGCGATATTGAAGGAGGCTATGAGGTCCTCAGTTACGTTCTTATCAAACCGGAGGAACTCTCTGTCAGGCGGCGTGAAAATCGGCTCCTGACTCGTGCTCGACAGATCCCGATTGATTGTGAGGTGTCCGACAGACCGGGCGGCTCTCCGTCGGAGGAATGATGAAGGCTCCAGAATTTCATCGATGACTTTATCGATAATCGCTATTATCGTCGTCAAAGAGAACAGATTCACTCGTCATTTTACTCCCCTAATCAGAAACCGAGTACTGGAATTCTGATGGACCGGCGAAGGGGTTCCCTACGCTCCCCATAGTCTCGCTGCGGCGAAGATAGCGCACGACGACTTCTGAATGATGAATAGAGCCTCGATCTTGCTTGCCTTTCAGAGTGAGATGTCGGAATCGAGCTCAGCTTCAGCGGAAACCTTCCAGTGTTTTGCTTCTGTATGGAAGAACAATTTCTGATTCCTCTCGAGTCTTGGAACGGAAAAAAATTATTTTCCCCGAACACAAGTCACCTCGAAGCGAAACCACTCGATGGTGTCAAAACCATCAAGCTCGATCCCAACAACCTTCGCGCGAGCGGTCGCGGGACACGCAGATCGAGCATGTGGCTCTTTCTGGGCGGAGCGGAGCCGACCTGCGCGCGCGGTTGCTCAGTCGCGATTCGCGATGCGACAATGAAAACGGTCTCTGCGAGTATTTACAAGAACGTTTTGACATGATCGATCCTTCTCCTGAGACAGCTGTGCCGGACGTCGAGAAGTAATACACGCCGTCGAGCGGCGAAGCCTCGAGGTCCTCGATGATTACTCTTCAGTCGAGTGGAGATGCGGACTGCATTGTCGAAGCCAACCCGTCAGGTCCCTCATTTCAAGTCTGTCATCCGATCATCGCTGCATGGGTCACTTTCAGGTCCACCGGGGGGCTTGATGTATGAAGCATACCCTGAGTCGTGGCTTAAGCGAAAGGTTTCTCAACTCCAGTCGGTAGATCGACGGCGTTGTCCTTCTGAGCGAAGGGGCTCGACTGAGACGTCGCGCCCGAGCCAGACGACGCATACCTATATGCATGAATGCATATATATTCAGCGTTGTCTGAAAGCTCAATCGAAAGACCCACTCTATGGGACACGGAATGAAGTTTCTACCAGCAGATGTGCGCTAAGCCGTGCACGTCAATTCTTTCGCCTGCCAGATCTTCCATCAGACAGATGCGGAAATAACGCGGCGCAGTGTTCTTGATATTCCGGGGACCACGGTGAGACCTGGGAGAATTTCAGCGCAAGGAGAACGGCGCGACGAAAATTTCTTGAGGAGCCTGCTCTAAAGTCCCCAATTTAGTGGCAGAAGCCCACGACCCAACATCTCATCACCGTCTCATTTCACGCCATATGAGAGGACTGATAGCGAGCTGCTGTGGGACTGCATTGAGGAGTTTCACAGTAGGTCCTGAGACCTGCGATTCCGGCATCGCAGCTATCCATTCGGAACCCCGACAAAGATCATCGACATCATTCTCTCCTGTCTCCCATCGACAGATTCCATCTCTGTAGGATTTAACCCCGCGATCTTTCTAAATGTGTTTCTTCGTTGGGTGAAGGATCTGCGATTTCGCGCTAGCTTGAGCTAGCGTCGAGTAGTGCGGGAATCACATCTCTCAATCATGCAACCTCACAAGCCGTCTCACACCTACACCGACTGAGTTTCTTCGGAAAGGGAGAGAGGGAAGCAAAATACTCAGACACGGATTTGAGTTGGACTGTCATTCCTGTGAGGTGGCAACTCCTAGGAATCCTGGAAGTGCAATACTGACCTTCTCGATCGAGCATGCTCCTGGAAGTCCCCTCCGTGGTCAGGACAGAAAGGTCAGAACTCAATCTAGAAGGCGACACCTGTCATGGGGGATTACGAAGGTTCCTATGAGATAGGTTTTCCTGGGGATGAATTGGCTCCTCGTTCCGAGAACGCGGGGAGTTCCAGGAGCTGGGCTCCGTAGCTCCAGGTTCAGCTCCTCGCTTGAGAGTTGTCCTCGGATAGATTCTCCACATGGGATCCCTTTCCCTAATTCGAACGTCTGGTCGTAGCTGCTCCTCATTGTATCTCGTCCCTAGGAATCTCTGTCCCCCGATTTGGGCGCTTGGGCTCTTTGTGTCTTCTGGGCCCCGAATTCGAAAAGCGCTCCGGGAAAAACCGATGGGAGAAAATTCCCCATCCCATACCCTCGAAACACATTCATACCATAGGTTATCGTCGTAAGTTATGAAGCCAGATCTACCGCTGTCCGTGGGTACTGTTCCTCACACAAATCACCTTTGTAACAGGCAACCCAGATTCTTATAATGGAACTCGGTCGGAGATTGAAGGAGGCTGTGAAGCCACTCCAGAAGTCTCCCCTAGTCCAGGAAATCCAGGAAAAGGTTCGTAAGTGAGATCGACGCTCCGGAAACCAATATATTTCGGGATCGGGCTGTCAATTGTGTTCGGGAAAGGACTCGGAGTAATTTTCGAGTTTTCTCCTGCTTCAGTTCCACCAACTCAGGAGTCCGAATTCTGAGGAAAGAGTTGAGCGTATCGATACCAATTATCTACAAGACACCATCGTACCTCAGAGAGTGGCCCTGAAAAATGCCCTCAAAGACCCAGCTGTCGAGGAAGCTCTTCTGGAATCGATAGATCCATCGTATTATAACGAAGACTTCGATGGCTCCTTATTCGAATTGCGGAGACTCCCGGAAAACTCGCAGCCGGAGTTGGTGAACATCAATCGGCAGGTACTCGAGAAGCAGCTCGCCGTCGTCACGAAGAAAGTATATGATCTTATCCTCGGGAAACAATCCGAGTACTCTGAGGAGATCGTTCACGTTGTCGAGCTTCAAGAGAAGTTGACTGCTTGTCTCGGACAATGTGTTGACGCTCGCAAAGCACTCGGACGCACCCAGGACGATTTCACGTTACAGAATATGAGGTTCGAATTAAATTATAATTCATTCAATATCAATTCAATTCATTGACGAAAGATTGGATTAGCTTCACCGTCGTGAAATGCGCTGGTTTCGATACAGCTCCCTGTTTTCCACCGGCAGCATTTAAATCGTTCCAACTGGTTTCAGAGTGCTCCGCTGCACTAGATGGCGGAATCTCCTGATGGACACGTTATCCAAGCTGTCTGTTATTAAGACCCTACAACAGACAGATATCAGATTGTACGAGCTTCTCGAGATGAGCGAATACCCAGCTGCGATTCGACTCCTTCTGGAGTGCCGGAAAGCTCTCCAGGTAACATTGGTGTTGTTCCCCTAGAAGATTTGCCACGGGAAAATACCGTCCCCCGGGTCACAGTGCTCTTCCTCCAAGGCTTACAATTCCTTTTCTCTCCCCTCCAGGACTATCAGCAATTCGATTGTATGAAACAATTGTCCTTGAAATTCGAGCGCACCTTGGAAAAAACGGAGCATCAGTTGGACTTGGCGCTATCGAAGATTTGCTTGGAATACAACGAGGAAGTCTACATCAAACTTTCGCTAGCTTTCACACTCATGGGCAAAGGACCAAACATCTTGAATCAGCTGCTCATGCATTATACAACCACTATCCACAATCTTTCCCTTGTTCTCGTTGCTAAATACGGCAACGGAGAACCCGGCAAAAAACAGTATCAGGATCTCTGTGGAATGGTCAACGAAGAGAAGTCAGTCTACACCGATGGATATTCTCGTCATTCGTGCCGTTGAGCTCCCGAATGCCTCCCAAATTCCGGAGGTGCCGTGAACATCTGGCTCATGTCTGTACTTTTTTGTCGAATTCCAGGTACTCAGAGTGTCTCCGAGAACTGGCGCGAGCTTTTTTCAAACTTATGGTCAGTTACAGACAAGTGTTAGAATATCACGAGAGAACAGCGAAAGACGAAGACAGCGAGAAACTCTCCGACGACGAATGGTGCGTGTAAATCCGGGATCCGATCCGGAAATAATCCATTGAATAAGTCTTGGATCTAGAGAACAATCTTTCCAATAGAATTTGAAAAAGAGTGATTTGTGTGCCGCTATATAGCGAGATGGTGAATGGCGATTCAGCACTGGAGAAGAGCTCAACTCCTAGCCCGGCTCCCGGGGCTGTCAGACATCCTCTGGCCGACTCAGACGATGATCAGAGCAGATCTGGATCATCTTCCGTCAACAGCACTCCGGTGAAGGTAAAACATTTGTTTCCCGGAACGGTTCTCTCCTTGAAACTCCGTGTCAACTATCTAGGAAAATGATCCGATCCTCCCCCACTCCCCTATCATAACTCCATCGCGCATTTTGAGCAGGAAAGGGTTGGTGAGAAAAGCCTAGCACGCCAGAAACTGAGAAATGGTTTGCATCGCCTGTGGCTGGACATGCAACAGAAGTTCAAGGTGAGCCCCCACGGCCGAGATCAGAAATTCGCCCGATCAATCGGGAATAATGATCGTCGATCGAGCTCCGGAAATGTACCTCAGCCGGAAGCTGCCCACAATCGTGGAGCCCTGAGCCGCCCAAGACTCATTGACTCTAAGGAGACATTTTTTTCAAGGTACTCCTGAGCTCTTTCTGCTGGCAAACCATCGCGGAATTCGACAAATTCATCGCAGTTCTCAACATAACTAAGGTAAGGCAGGCTGCTCTCCCGATGAGAAATTGCAACAATAGCCAAACTTCGAAGGTGGAGGAAAAAATTCTCGATATCGAGCGGGAGCGAACCGAAGTATTCTCGAGCTCGATTCGCAATTCCCCAGGTGATGATTCAAGTTGGTGAAGTCTTTTGCGAGCAATCGCAATGCAGTGCAGATCTCGAAACCAGCGCGGAAGACCAATGTCTGCGCTATTTCTACTCGTATCATGGCCAAAGTCTCGCCACTCTCAAGACCTACCTGGAGCACGAATCCTGGGAGTTGATGCCAGTCCGGGATAGCTTCTCGTTGGACAACCTGCACGAGTTCTGCTTTCTCCAAAGCACCAAGGAGCCTTCCGCTACGCTGAGATCTATCCCCGATCGGGAAATTGTCTTCAGCCCCGAGGCTCAGGATCCTTTCGAGAGCGAGCTGCCCCGCGTTCCCAGGTGAGTTTTCCCGCAGAAGCTGCGGGGCTTTCGCTCATTTCTATGACCTCGCCCCATTCCGAATGGTAGTTTGCGGCATCAATCGTCTCATTGCCTCCACAGCGACCTCGATAATTCGATATTCGAAGATGAGGGCGAGGATGACGAAGAGGATGAAAGGAAAACTCACACACACCGATTTCCGCGGCACGCGATGACCAACACTTCCCTGACGATATTCCGACTCCTCGGACGATACCTGAATATGATTGCAGCCCTCGGCGGCGGCCAGGTCGTGACTGCGCAGGGTTTGAGCTCTGTGATAAACCTTTTCGAGTTCTACTTGCACACGATTTTTGTCCATTTCGCGTCCGAGAACACCGAAAATTTCCCGTGGTGCCTCAGTCCGTCGAGTCGAAGGACGCTCCTCCGAATAGGAGAATCTCTAGTTGAGAGCATCGATGCCAAAACACCTCTACCAGCTCTGACCCCTCTGCAAGATGGCAGCTTCAACATGTTCAACATGCGTAAGCGGGTTGCTGCTTGCGAGAGCCTCACGTTTCTGTCGGCACAGCTCCAGCTACTGCTGCCGCAGGTGGACCCGCAGATGGCCGAGAAGTTGGACCAGTTCACAGCTGATATTGAATGTGCTCAAGAGATGTACCACTCCGTGTACCTCGCAGTGCCTTCCAGATTTCTTAATCTGCCCCAACTACTCGACGGCATGTTCAGCGTCAATTGGGATCTGAAAGATATCCAGACGCAGCATAGTCCCTATGTCGACTCCTTACTCACTCAGCTCGTCATTCTCGAGGAAACTCTCTATGAGAGCTCGATGCCAGAGGGAGTTATTAGGAATTATTGGATAGTCACGCTGCGTCTATGTTCTCAGGTGAGTGATGATATGGGTCATTTCTCTCCGGTGCCGAAGAATTCGGCGGTTTTCGAGGGTGGGACGGGCTCATGACTAGACGGAGGCGTTCCGCAAGCACGAATTCCGATCCGTAAACGTACGTTTTCAGGCATTCATCGAGGGTTTCTCGAGTGCCAAGAAGTGCTCAAACGCCGGTCGGGCACTGATGCAATTGGATCTGCAACAATTTCTTTCGAAAGTAAGTCCATTGAGGCATTGGGAGTGGATACTGCAGAACATTCTTTGAGCTTACGAGCCAGACCATGATGTTTTTTGAATTCCAGGTTGAGCGGATGCGTGTGAAAATGAAGCCTATCCCCGACCAAGCGCTCGTGGAGTCGCTCGTGAGAGCGTACTACCTTATTGACAAACCTCTCGAAGATTGGCTCCTGCAGAACATGCAGTATTATTCTAAGAAACAATTAACTGGTTTATTGAACTCAATGAGCCACTTGAATCGGAAGTCCCGCCAAAATCTCATCCAGATGATCGAGGAACGATGACAGCGCTCGGAGGGAATAGATCTGACGTATAACGAATCGTGAGATAGTAGGGATAGCGAGATGTCCATTTTCGGTCCTGACGCTGTGATTCTCGATCCTTTTGTATGGAAGATGAGCTTCCCCTTCGGGACGGATCCATTTGCACTCTGAATTTGAGCGATTATGACCTAAATCTCATTGTAAAAATCGGTAGTTTGTCGAATGATGCGAGCGATGCCCCTGAGGGTTTCGAGTGTCCGATTCGAGAAAGACGGATCGTATTCCTCTCGGGAGTCCATTCAGTTCAAAGTATCTTTAATTTATAGATGAATAGCTCACGACAGACATCTGAAGTTCCTCGCGATAGACGGTTGATTAAGGACACACCGCGTAGCCTTGATTCGAGACAGAACTTTTTTCATGACGGGATCTTGAGCAGTGAATGCGTCTCAGCATATTGTCGCGCTTCTCTTTCCCATCGCGAACTTCCTCCACTGGTGATCGAATAGGCGTCCGGGACGTCGATTTCGAGTGAAATCCTAAATCAGTTATCCTTATCATACTGCCCCAGTGCAATGGAAACTCGACATGCGAATTGATTTTGGATCATGGATGGTGTGTATGGGTTCCCTCGCCTGAAGCAAACGGCTGTTCCCCGAGCCGATCGCAATAAACGAGCCGGGAAGAAATCTGCGATTTTCAGTAAGCCAGAGCACCGATGCGATTGTGATGGTTCCCATTCGTTCCGTTAGCTATAGAAATCCTCTATTTCTGCGGAGCTTTTCTTCCGGAAAAGATACAATTTATTACATTATTCATCCGATGTGAATCCAGGCTCGGAACATCGGTATGATATCCAGCTGCGTTCGTCTCAGATAAAGCTATATGATGCTCCTCACAGGCGGCTTAGAGACGGCGAAGGAAATAATTCTTTGAGTTACACTGTACAGGATCATTATTCCGCGACTCAAAATTCCAGAGCGGCGCTGCTTCCAGCGGAAACCCGATCACAGCGGCAGCGAGGCCGAGGCATGGTTTTTGTGCGTTTCATTCGCCGGAAATTCAGTGCAGACCTCGCGTGAAATTTCCGGCGGGCCAGACTGTTAGTCTCCGCGAGATTGCCTCGCGTCGAGCTTTAGTGACAGGGTCTCAAGCGGCTCTTCCGAACAGAGTTTGACTCAGGGACGATGTCTTCCAAGCCAGTATGCTTGCAGCGAACCAGCTGATTATCACAGATACGACAAGCCAAACAGCCCCCAGCGGATACAGACGGAAAACTGCGAAGCCGAAAAAGATCGAAACCGTCAAACAGCCGAACACATCGAGAGCATTAATCCAAAATTGTGAAAATTCGCTCCAGTGACACAAAATCGGGATCGATGTCAGGATGACGCTTCCTCTGAGACAAGACACGATTCTCCGGAATAAACCGAAAGAGATGTGGTAGCTCGAATCGATGCTCTTGCACAGCCAAACGAGACTCCCCAGAAACCTTCCTGAACTCACAACTAAACTGAACCAACACGGAGCAGCGACGAACAACATGACGAGAGACACGCAGCGACTGAATTCATAGAAGAGGAAGAAAGCAAAGTACATGAAGGGCATGTCTCTGCGCGGACTCACGAATTCGAAAGAGAAAATTCTTGAGCAAGCGTAGCTCGAATTCAGCAAACTAGTCGTCCACGTAATCAGGAGCCATTCCCACATAGGAGACGCCAGGGATAGATTCAGAGATATACTGAGGAGCGTATGACCCTGCAAAACCAATTGCGGAAGGGTTTCGAGCAGAACTTGAGAAGAGTAAATGAATACTAAGTCTTCACGAATAGTGAAATAACGTATAACTTCTCTGAATTGGATCTCTGCTGGTTTCCTCTTGAATTTGAAGCAAGTGTGGAGCTGACGCAGCATTATTTGTACCGGTAAGACGGGCAGGATGGTATAGAATGGAATGAATAACTTATTGCTCACGTATGTACACGCTGTCCGGAAGGCTACTAAATGAATGAATCCGAGGGTCATCAAACACTTCAGTGAAGCCCACCAACGTGAATTATTATCTCGGTGGCTCAAATTTGATAGCTCCAAGTAGAACAAGACCGCAAACCAGTCGGATAGAATGTCAGATACAAAGAGAAGTATCGCTGCTACTTGCTCGAGAATATCCCGCCAACTAAGCTGTTTCGAGAAATGAGCGGTGAGTATTAGCTTTACGTCTTTGACTATAGCTGCGGTTATCGCGATTTGGTCGGAGATTAGTTTCGGACTGTCCAAGGGCATACGCGGAGACAGGGTCACTTTGAGAACGAACTTGAATTCATTTTTGAAGCCTTTTAGCTCATTTTCAAAGTCTTCGCGATTCTCCAGCTTCTGACAACAGTAGCCAGTGTTGAAGGTCGAGGCCAGCTTGTCCAGCTCCCTGTAAAGACTCAGGAGTTTCTGCGTCTCGTGGGCCGTGAAATCGCTGGTGTCGATGCCGCAGGCCGCCTTCGTGAAATACTGCTCAAGTGAGTCCAGCTCGTACGTGAGCGCTCGCAACTCAGTTCTGATGATATCCCAACGTTTGCTGGGCGACAAGATGCCCATACTGGGAGAAGCCGGTTCCAAGTTATAGCTCCTGCTCCCTTCATCCTTGGACCTGGAAACGGTGAAGAAGTCTCCGTCTAATTCGAATGAGAGGGAATTTCCTGACGGGTTCATCAGTCTCGATCGAGGGATGATGTAAGTTAGTACGATTCGCAAGTCTGGAAAACAAATGCTCCCAGACTCGATTCTCAATTCCAATGTCCAGTTTCCCAGCTCCAAGTTTCAATGAGGATTTCTAGGGAAATCAATGCGATAGTCTCTGTTCTATCAGTTCCATATTTGCAAGAGAATCGCTGAAATCTTTAAGAGACGCGATTTCTTCGAATTGGGAGTGGTAGACGTTCCAAGACTGCTAGAAAGCGAAGCAGCGGCCGGGAATTCCTGACCGGAGGAGCTAGATCGTCCATCCCGCTCTTTCGTCCACGGGGATAGAAACATCCATACTCAATAGAGAGGATGGGACCGCTGCGGGGCTGCTCGAGAGAGAAGGTCGACCTTCCGTCCGGCGGTTCCGTTCGGGTTGAAGAGTCACATGATCGGAGAAGTAATCTACTCGAAGGAAGACAAACCTCGACTCCCTTTCTTCCACTTCTTCCGTTTCATCGGGAACAAGAACTGTATCTTCCTTCTTTTGTAACATCAGTGACGTTCACTATGGCTTGGGAGTTATTACTTTTCCGCAACTGTTGACCAGCAGAAATGTTCTGCCCGAAAACAACACAACAGCGGCGCGCACCCTCTCCCTAAAACATGAACGTGGAACACATGTACCAAAGTAGCACCAGACAACAGACGACCAATTTGGCGACGCGCGTCGCGCTCCTCGGTTCTCCGAGCAGGGGAAACCGAGTCTGAAAGTTCCTTAAATTAATGTCGCGATGACGACAATCGTTGGTATGAATCAGTCTTCGCTCTAGGTTGGTCGGTGACTAGACTGACATTTGTCAACGCAGCACAGTATCGTCCGATTTCAGGAGTGGATTGTGGTGAGCGTCACGTTCGCCTCCGGGAATGCGCGCCGCAGATCTGTGCTCGACTCCCAGCCTCGTCTGGAATGGAAATTTTTTCCACCGCTGGAAATCACAGCTCGAACCCGATGAGACCTCTCTCGAACACACGTGAGCGGTCCTAGAGACTGAGACTTTTTTTCTCATAAGATCCCTCGTTGCGGAGACCCGTCTCCGACGCTCCACGGAACCTCATGCGGAGTTCATGGAAACCAAAAAACTGCCTCGAGCGAAACCGTTCTTGGGAGTTTTCCCGGATGAGGAGAACTCCGAGAGCCCACTCGAGAGGATTCCCCTCTCCGGCGCGTCACCTCCACCTTTTAGCATCGAACTCCGTGTATCGCTAAGACCAACTGGAGGAACATAAATGTGAAACCCCACGTCGATCCGACAAATGCGTAGAACGCCGGCCCGACAAATGCATAGAATGTCGGCCATTCCAAGGGAAAGTACGTCCTCGCGCAAAACTTTGTGGGGGAGCAAGTCGATTTCATCTTGAAATGACGACTCGGATTGTGGGGAACAGGCGACGGCTCGTACTGCTCGATCGGGTCTGTGTGCATCGCGATGCTCTGGACCACGACTTATGCCGATCGATTAGTCACGGGAGCATGCTTTGTTTCGCGCAAAAGAATCGCTTTCTGCCTGAGGTCAAAAATATGCGCCGGAGCGGAGGTATCGTCTTCATCCAGCGGCCGTTCGTGCCAGGAACTCCTTTGGAGGAAAAGAGCTGACGACTTCGGTAGGCTCTCGTGAGTGAGAGAGGCGCTATTTGAGTATTTCCAGGGTGAATGATCGACAGGTAACTTCAGCTTCGGCGGCCAGTAGCTTCAAGGGATCAATGGAAGGATGCCGATCGGGGAGGGTAGCTGAGTGGAGGGAATCGAGTGTCGGGATCCACGTAACTCCACGTTCTCGATCCCGGGATAGTTGGATCGGGCACTACCTCTTGTTATTTCAGTCATATGACCTTTCAAGCGCGATCGATGCCTCCGAGTTCCCTCTAATGGCAACCGAGGTTTATACGATAGTAATGGGCAGAAGAGTTATGGCCGAGTGATTCAACCGCGACGCTCGACTAGATGACCGTCGTCGAGAGCCGCCGATTATCAGCCAGGAAAAGAGTGTACCTCATGCGATAGCCTGTACGCTCGAACGATCGACGCTTCTGCGATACTTGGTCGCATGAGAACCGGATATGATCTCGATCCACGTAGAGGCGCAAGCTGAGCGGGAGAGTTGAGTTGAGGAAAGAGCAACTCTTAGTCATTGGCATCACCGACTCGTTTACTTAGCTTCCTTCGAAACAAAATCTCATGCTCTTTTCCTCGTCGAGGGCAAGTTTTGACCGAAAATACTGTGACATCGTCACGACGTGGTCTCTCCGAAATCGTCAACTCAATTTGCAACAGTAGGTGTGCTTGGAAACTTGCGGAGGTGGGGGCGGGGGAGGCCTCAGACCGTTTATGAATCGGGGGTCGCAGCCGAAAAACTCGAAACTGAAATCAGGAGGGTGTTCTCGAGCTCACCATCGAGGCTTCGAAAGAGAATAGTAGAGGAAAGTGGAGTCAGAGACACTGGGGCTTTCACTAGGAAGGAGGACAAATACCCACTTTTCAGTTTTCGGGAGGACCGGGAGGATCGGCATTCTCGGTCCTTTCGGCCACAGTTTCGGGAACAAGTTCCCCTTTGGACCGAATTTCCATGCAGGTCGGGCATTGCTGTATTTTGCGTACGGTCCTGGATACGGAAACGCACCAGGAATAAAATCGGTTGAGATCCCAGGACCGATGTTCGATATCCCATAGCCAAGACCGGACAAGAAGGAATCGTCTCTGAATTCCTGAAAGTACGAGTCGAAGCCCGAGCTCAAATGGTAGCTCAGATCATCTCGCTGGCCCCTTCCTGATCGCGATTCGAAAGACAATGTGAGGCTGTCGTCATCTTCGTCTCGGCGCCGAACTTTGCGGGGATTCTTCCGCCGTACAGAAGTTTTCTTTGCTTTTCGTTGCGCCTTTCCCTTAACTGAAATGTAAGCGTCTCATTGGGTGTCAAGCTTATTTCGTATTGCTCACAATGGTTTCTCGGGTTGACGCGAGATGCAAAGTGGCGCATAACGCGAATGGCTTGCCTTTGGGTTCTGGCATGAGAATTCTTCAATTTTGTTCAGATTCGACGTTCGACGGGGATATGTGGGTTCCAGTATACTGCTAATCAGTCGTGTCTTCAGGGGTCAAGTTTCGGTAGAATCGGGGGAACTCTCCATTGGTAGGAACCCACCGCTTCGTTGTTCACTTTTCTTCTCTGGAGCGGGGGTCCACCGAGGCGGTCGCGTGTTTAGTCGTAGAGAGAAGAAGTGACGCACACCTTCATAGTGACTTTCTGTGGAATCATCGCCTCAGAAAGAGGTCAGTCATTGTTCCGTATGCAACCTTTTTAAGTATAGTTCGTGACGACCATCTTCGTTGGATCGATGTTTTCCCGCAGGCTACCCGACTCCTGAGATCGGCGTCTTTCATATCTTCCTAGACTCATCTCATACTGTTGCGTCTCCGCCTCGGGGCCATATGGGGCTCTAGCTCTCCTCCTTCCCCCCAGGATCTTGTTTCCTTAAGGTGAAATATAGGAACGGGTCGCCATCACGGAATCCAAGAACCACACAGATCCGGGTCCATCCCCCGTCCCGGGAAAAATTCTGGGTACGCCTCCGATCTCATAGGGTGCAGAGCGAGAACCTCCTTCGTATCTCATCGTCGAAATTCGTCCAGCGTCTCATCATTGCTTTTCCTCTCGATTGAGGTCTAGCTGCGGAAATTCCCTTTCCGAGGACTGAGGTTGAGCGGTCGGCTCACGATGGCAGGGACCATAGCTGATGGAGGTGTCTAAGGATGATGATGTCTCTGCCTAGTCCCGAGGAGCTCTCGCGGATCGGACGATGTTAAGTAATTCTCCACGGTTCGGGCTCGGCTTCGTGGGATTATTGTTTCCCCATCCAATCACACCGGAATAATACACAATTTATGCGGAACCTCCTTCCCATAACGAAATCGCGTGCGTTGCGGAAATTCTGCTGTTCTCTCTTCTCCCTCCACGGCCTGACCGATCGAAGGATTGGGACGCTTATGCAACTTCACGAACGTGCGTACCGTTCGTAGAGCCAAAGTTTGGTGGAATGAGAGACCTCTGCCGTGGGACAACCATGAACCATACGCCTTAATATTCAGCGAATCCGAAGCGCGAACATGTCTGTCGATTACCGGCGAATCAATGGTGATTCAAAGAGCCCGGTCGAAGCAAGACGGGTCATCGGCATAGGAGACGGGTCGACGGACCGCGTCTCGCACCGACGCAGTCGAGGAGCTGGACTTCTCTCTACGAAGGTTTGCCCTCCCACCTCCCACTAATCGATCCCTACTCGTTTTCGATCAGGAACTCACTGCTACGTAATCTCCGGGGGGAATTCCCCCGAGTTCCATTCCTTGCCGCCTTCCCCTCGATGAACGCAACTGGGCATACGGAATATGCCTTGCGCACGCCAGCCTTGTCGGGGAGAGCTTCTCATGTTCTCCAACCCTCCATTATATTTAGGCGGCGCGGAGTAATCCTGATCACAATCTCTTCTGAGAAAAAAACGACGCTGTGCTCAGGTCAGCTCAGCCTTCCGACCGAACTACCGAACGAGTCATGGAAGGCGCAGGCTTAGTCAACGATGTGCTGCAAACTTCGAAATCGGATGTTCTCAAGATGGGCGCTGCCAAGGTAGGCGCTCTCGTGTCGGACGTTGTCAAGTTGGACATTCCCAAATCGGATATTACTCAAGCGATGCCTTCGGATACGAAGTCCAAAAGTACTCCCTCGAAAAATTTGTCTTCAGCCGCACCGGACTCGAAAGAGAAGAATGCTCTATCGCAACAGAAGTACAACTTCTTCGCGAAGTTGGCCTTGTTCGTCTTGATCATTATGACACTAGTCGCGGCGGTTCAGTACTATGTTTCGTACCGGGCCTCACAGGCTTTGAAAAGCCGAGGGAAGTGTCCGAGTTCGGGCCATGGTTTTTTGACGGGCTTTGCGGGGAGGATCGGCGGACACCTTCTGAGTAAATATGTCAACTTTCCAGTGGCGGAAAACCTTCCAGAAGAAGGTTGCTGGCGGTTGCTATGGAGCCTCAATGGCGGAGCACTTTCATAGCAAGCTCGACCATCGTCTCGGCGTCTCGGGTTCGATACCAGCCCGGGACCGTCTTTTTCAGAGAATTTTCTCCTTTTTTTGGTTCCATTCTTCATTTATCCGGTATTCCGTTCATTCCCCATCAGGAGATCGGGGAAAATGATGAGTATGAAGTCAGACGACGTTTCGGTGCGTATTGATTGACTAGATGCTCGATGTCGATCACGATGAGAATTGAAATAGTATTGCTTCTCGCATCATGGATAGCCGTTGAAAGATGGCTCTGCGCCATCCGCATTTGAATGCTCGCGATGTCGTACAGCAAGACCGTCGACGCCAACTTGTGAGGCAGTCTCCAGCGTTCCGGGTGCGATGTACTTTGTACATATTATACATAGCTTTCCTCCGAGAGTTTCGCAGGTACGTCTTGTATAGAGAGTCGCAGGATTTATTCAATACAACTTTCGAGATCAGGAGACTATTGGCGTGACAACTTATTTCAAAACCTGCACAGAGGTTCCATCGGCTCTCGATCGTGCGAACGTGCGCACTTCGAAAATGTGCAAATATGTGTGTTTCCCGTCGTTGGATCGGAAGCAGCCTCCTCCTCGCATTCCATTCAGGGCTGACCTTCACCGTGCCCGTGACTTTGTCCAACACTTCTCGCGCGGACCGTTGGAGTACGTTAGAGCCCGATGGGCTTTAACGCTTTCGTCTCCAGGGTCTGCGCTTCTCTCGGGCGATCATTCGCGCAGTTGACTCTGATCTTCGACCTGGGTGAATTATTTCTGGCAGACTACGAAGTTACACTCACGACAAACGCCCCAACGATTATAAGGAACATCCTGACTTCGACAGTGGTTCATTTTTGTCAGGCATCGGGGTCTTCACCGGCGGAATTCCTGTCCGGCGCCGATCTGACCTCTCTGACGCCCGGTGACGAAAACCTTGTAGCATTCATCGTGCAGCTCTTGGAAAATCATGCAAATTTGAACGACCCTTTGTTGGTCGATTCGTCGGACGAGAGCGATGTTGACGTCATGGAAGACCAGAGGCAAGAGGGCGCGGAGAGAGAAGACTGTGATTGGGAGGATAACGATCAGTACCCCGAGTCAGACACAGATCTCGATTATAGGCCGGTTGAGGGGCATGAGCCTGATGAGGGATGTCGGCCCTCATCGATCTCACCATCAGATGAGAACGTTATAGTTTTCAGTCAAAACACAGCGGTGTCGATTGATCGCGTGGGGAGAGCTCTCTCCTTTTACCGAGGTTGCAAAAAAGGCACTCGAAGTCTGAAATCTATGAACGAAAAGCACAGATTCATTAAGGATAAACACGACCTCGAGAAGCTCCGAAAGTTCGAGAAAGATAAGGAGGCAGTCATCGATCGCAGGAATCAGATGAAAGTGCTCACTGAACGCCTCCGAGAGCAGGTTTTTGACAAATTGGAATCTGGCATCTCCTTACATGACAGAAACCTGCAAGAGATGGCCCGCGGGTATAGTCGAAGTATGGGTGTGCGGAAGTTCAGTGCCTCCTTGAGCTGGGTCAAACGCTTCCGGAAGAAAAACCGCATAGTATCTCGCAGAATCACAAACATCGTAGGAACGGAGAGGAAAGCTCGAAAGTTCGTCTGCGACTTCCGCGCACTCGTCGAGGCAGAGTCGGTCGGACTCGACGCTATCGTCAACGCCGACCAATCGGGATTCACCAAGCAGCTCTATTCAGCGCGCTCGTTCGCCCCGAAAGGTTGCAGAAATGTCGAGCGCTCGGTTCAAGCTGTGAGCTCAACTACGCATTCCTACACCGTACTTCCGATAATCTTCGCCGACGGCAGGTTAGCTCCGAAATTATTCGTGGTGCTCGCAGAGTCCAACGGAAAATTTCCTCGCGACTTCACGAACCCTTCGACAAATCTGGTGGTGGAGTGCCATGAGTCGCATATCATGACGAAGCAATTATCCGAGGAATGGCTCACCGAATGCGTCTTTACACAAGACATGCCCGAGAAACTCGTCCTGCTTCTTGACTCTTGGCATGTTTCAAGGACCATTCGACAATCAGGAGCCTCGTGC